AGTCATGTTGGTTGCTATTGGAGCCCCTGATATGTGGCCCAGACTATGGTGAGGCGAGTGAGGCATTGCCTTGGTCATAAAATTTAAGGAGGTCTCCCAAACTCAATAGTCAAGATAAAGAATATTTTAATGCAATATTTAAGCAATTAAATTAATGCAAAAAATCCATGATTTAAAAAAATCAGAATTTAAGTCAATTACGGGTCTATTAGTGAATAAAAGAGATATCAACAGGGACTGCTTTATTTTACTGTATTTTATTTATTTAAACTTTTTTTTTTTAAGATGGAAGTCTCACTCTGTTGTGCAGGCTGGAGTGCATTGGCACAATCTTGGCTCACTGCAACCTCCACCTCCTGGGTTCAAGCAATTCTCCTGCCTCAACCTCCCAAGTAGCTGGGATTACAAGTGCCTGCTACCACTCCTGGATAATTTTGTATTTTTAATAGGGACGTGGTTTCACCATGTTGGCCAGGCTGGTCTTGAACTTCTGGCCTCAAGTGATCCTCCCGCCTTCGCCTCCCAAATTCTTGAGATTACAGGTGTGAGCCAACACGCCCAGCCAGGGACTGTTTTATATTTGTGGCTAAGGGGGATTTGAGGGATAATTTGAGTCTGGTCTGCTTTCTTGGGTTGTGTTACCCAAACTGCTTTATGGGGATTTCCAACGATGTAAATTTTGTGATGAAAATATTTTATAGTAAAGCACACATGGCCGTATTGCGGAAAGAAATGCCAAAATTTTATGAAAATTTAAAATAAATCAAGCTGAACTACTGGAGAAGCTGAGGTAGGAGGATCGCCTGAGCCCGGGGGTTGGAGGTTACAGTGAGCCGTGCATTCGAAAGCAGAACAGAATCAAATTATCCCTCGAATGCGCTACAGCCACAATATAAAACAGTCATTACTGGCATCTCTTTATTCACTAGATAGATCCTGAATTGTCTCCCTCCGTCGCCCAGGTTAGAGTGCAGTGCGAGACCTTGTCTCTAAAACAAACAAATAAATAAATACAAAAACAAATACAAACAAAAACAAGCTCAAGACTTTGAAGAAATGGTACCCCAGAGCTTTGAGAATAGACTCCTGAGTTACACATATTTTCTTCTTTCTGCCACTAGGTGGAGGCAGTGGAGCGGGTTGAGAAGCACTGTCATATAGCTTGTAATTAAAGAACATCAGAGTGCCAGCGGAGTTGCTATAAAGTGCAGAGCAGCTACTCTCGTGCTGTATACTTGGTCGCGCATGAGAGAGAAGTGAATGGGAGGGAGGCTCGAAACAATGGGAAGAGCCCTAAGAATCAGGTCTGATGAACTTACATAATCGGCCTTGCACACAACTTTTCTGGCTGAACCTACACTTCCCATAAGTCAAATGCAAATGTTGGAAGGAATGTCTTTGTGAGGTTCTTTCCAGCTTGTACAGTCTGAGCTATTTTAAAGGAGAAATGCTGACGAGCAATCGTCCTTGGAATTTGCAGTGCATAAACTTGACCAGCAGAGCGCAGCAGTGCCCACCCCTTTTAAGGAGTAACCTTCCAAATTTTCTACTGCCATGGGAGAGTTCTGATCCTACAAATGAGGCAGCGTTTGGACCACTTAATAACAACCAACCCTAAAAGTAAATTTTCTTTTTATTAAACATTTTAATTTTACATTTGTTAACAGAAAAGAAATCTGTTGGCTCTGGGATACCGCTTTCTTGGTTCAACTCCTTCTTCCTTGACCACTGCTTCTAAGTCTCCTGTGATGGTTTCTTCTTATCTCTTTGACCTCTGCTTGTTGGGTTACCTACCAGGGCCCAGTCTGCCTTCATTGATTTAACTCATCACCTAGTAACCTCGACCTGTTTCCCAAATTTGCATCTTCAGCCCAGACTATTTCTCCGAACTCCAGAATCACATATATTCATCCACCTGTCCAAGGGATATTACCAGTTAGAGGTCTAGCAGGTATCTCAAATGTCTAATATGTTCAACTCTAAGCCCTGATTCCCACCTGCCTTCCCTGCCTCAGAAAATGTCCTTCCAAATTCTCTAGTTGCTCAGGTTCAAGCACTTGCAACCACCTTGATTTAGCATTTCTCCCATGCCTCACATCCAATATGTTAACAAATGCTATTTTTTCTACCTTTGAAACACGACCAGAATCTGACACTTTTCACCACAGCTGCCACTGGGCCTCTTGACTGCTATTAAGAAAGGAGGTATGTTCTGGTTTGTAAAGATTATTAAAAGATGTTAAATTGGGACTTTTTTTTAAAAAAATGTGTTTTGTAAGGTATCTCAAAGGCCGAGAATAATTTAATAGATATTGTGTCCTCTAATGGAACGATTCATTTTCTCTCGTCCTCCACTGCCTTTCTGGGGTTGGTGGAAATATTGGAGGATTTTCAGAATAAGAAACAATTTTATTGCTGTTCACCAGATGTCAGGCGGGTGTGGTGTGGTGGGCCTGTGAGTGGACCGTTTAACCCTAGAACTTAGAAACTAGGGTCCCTGTGGAGTACAAACCCTAATAGGTCTTGGTGAGTAACAGAATAGATAAAAGAGAGCTCAGTCCGGTCATAAATCCTTTGACCAGTTGCCATCTATTGCCATGAGAAATTCCCCAAGAAGGCACCCACCTCTTTTGCAGACAATTCTGTTTACTAGATTCTGAAGGATTCGTTATCATCGTATCATAGAACTGCCTTCTAGTTGGATGGTGCGTTAATCAGAATTCTTTTTGCAAGTAACGTAAGTCAGCTGTAACACATACAACTAGAAAAAGAATTAGAAAAAGAAAAGTAGTTATACTAATGTGAAAGAAAAAATAAACCTCAGGACCCCAAAATCACTAAGCCAAAAGGGAAAGTCAAGCTGGGAACTGCATCAGGCAAACCTGCCTCCCATTTTATTCCTAAATAAGATAGCTACAAAAATAAAAAGTTACATAGCTCCCTCACAATTTTCCCACAAGGGAATTCCTTGTGGACAAAGAAAGGACTGAACTCAAAGTCATCCCTCTGTTCACTTCAGACAAATGCATATGCATTGCTTCTTCCGCCCTATTGTTTCAATAAGCCGGACTAAGGCATAGATGAGTATTTCTCTACCCACCTTTCATATGTGAATTGTATATTCAGTGAAAGGCTGATCAGAGACTCAAAGTAATGCAACCCCATCAGGAAGCCCCCTTCCCTGCCTTGAGTTGTCACGCCTTTCCAGACCGAAGTGATGTACATCTTATACACAATGATTGATGTTTCTTGTCTCCCTAAAATGTATAACATCAAGCTGTGCCCCGACCATCTTGGGCACGTATAGTCAGGACCTCTGGAGACTTTATGATGGGCTTCACCTTAACCTTGGGAAAATACACTTTCTAAATTAATTGAGATCTCTCTCTGACACTTTGAGTTTGCACTAGGTTGCTCAGAAAGACACAGGGAAGGCTGTAGATCCAGGATGGGGCTATGCAGGTGGAAAATGTACCCTTGATCATGTCACTAAACTAGTCCAGGGATACACCCAAAACATGCTCAGCAGCGTGAGGCTGCAGCGTGCGCTGGTGACATGATTGCTTATGGACTTGGTCTCATTGCTAATGTGAGTCATTTTCTTGATTACTTTTCTCAAATTTGGGTGAGGTGAATCTGTAGCTCCACAAGATGGTGTAACAGGGGGCAATGTGAAGCCATGTAACCTTATCAAACATCTTTTTAGAGTGTCCATTTTACTTGAATGTTTCATGGAAAAAAATTATATTGAAATTTACACACACATAAAAGGCACAAGTTGTAATATTTACTATGAGAAGAAAACGTGATTTAAAAGATAAGCTTCAAACTGCACAAATAGCAGCGGGGGAGACGAAGATAGTTATTCACTTCCCTCTGCAGCTTATTGTGAACCATGAGAAGCCCCATCTTAAAGCGTCTGATGAAATACACTGATTTATAATAGCAGATTTGTGCATATATCTTATTTTAGCCTTTTCTGCTAGACTTTGGGTTGGAGAAGTGATGTGAGAAGGTGGAAAGAGCACAAAATTAGGAGTCAAAAGGCCTGGTTTTAACCTCAGCTCTGCCAGAAACTAAATAAGTGACCCGGGTTAAGACATTTCTATCTGTGCCCTCTAAGATATTTCCTTACATCAAATAATGCAATAGATAATTTCTATGATTCTTTTTGGCTTTTAGTCTGTAAGTCATTGGAATGGAGACGTTAGGCGAGCATTCTTCTTTGGAGCTATAGAACATTAGTGTGATCACCAGAAGGCACAAGATCCTGTGGTGATATAGGAGTATAGGAAATGAACAAAACACAGTCTTCTCTCACTTACTTCTCTCACAGTCTTCTCTCACTTCTCTCTCTCTTCTGTCTTTTATGTATTTATATTATCCATAATAGAGTAGGTTATACCACTGCCCCAAATCTCATGGTCTAGCGCCAACAAATGCTTATGTCTTGCTCTTGCTACATTCTTCACAAGGGCCATGCAGTCACTCAAGGATCCAGGCGGACAGAGGCTCTACATCTTGTATTTGCACCATTTGGAGCACATGGCCTCTTAAGTTGCTTCTGTAGATAAAGGATAGACAGGAAAATTCCATATGCTCTTTTTCCTGCCTCAACCTGCAACGGATGTATGTTACTTCCATGCCTATATCATTGGCCATAACTGATTACATCTGTAAGGAGACTGGGACATATAGGTGAGCAAATGGAACATATAGAAAGTAATGAGTTTGTTTAATATCCCGAGCTGCCTTTGGAAAATGTTGCTGAGCAGGCATTGAAGAGTATCAATAAAATTTATTGAGAATTTGTTTATTATGATTGATTAACACAGGTAAAAGCCAGCATATTACTGACTAATATAGGTAAAACGCAGTTAAGAAATTGGGAATGCTTTCTCTTCTGCTATGATGCACAAGGTGTTTAACATTTATGCCCCTATGAAAATTACTAGGTAGTCCTAGTCATTAGATCACCTAGAAGTTTGTAGTTTTAGAGCTTCGAAGTTGACTTCTGTCTTTTCTATTCATAGAGTTACATATTCTGTGGTGATATTTTTGGCTCTTGATTTACATTGGATACTTTCACAACCCACTGCTCATGAAATTTGCTTTTGTACTTACTGATCGTTTTTGCATAGACCCCTCCAGGCCATGACCAGCTGTTCGGATTTTATAAACGGGACCTTTGCATTGTGAACTGAGCTACAACAGGCAGGCAGGGGCAGCAAGATGGTGTCGCAGACCCAAGTCTTCATTTCCCTGTTGCTCTGGATCTCTGGTGAGGATTTCAAAAGTGCCACAGTCTTTTCAGAGTCATATCTGTGTAGAAATAAAAAAAATTAAGATATGGTTGGAATTAATGACTATTTCCAATATGGATCCAATTATGTGCTGACTTATACTACTACTAGAAAGCACATTTAAACGACATATTTCAATTATATATGAGAAAGCGTGTGTAAGTTTATGTATATTCATTGTCCATTACAGGTGCCTGTGGGGACATTGTGATGACCCAGTCTCCTGACTCCCTGGCTGTGTCTCTGGGAGAGAGGGTCACCATCAACTGCAAGTCCAGCCAGAGTCTTTTATACAGCTCCAACAATAAGAACTACTTAGCCTGGTACCAGCAGAAACCAGGACAGGCTCCTAAGCTGCTCATTTCCTGGGCATCTACCCGGGAATCCGGGGTCCCTAACCGATTCAGTGGCAGCGGGTCTGGGACAGATTTCACTCTCACCATCAGTGGTCTGCAGGCTGAAGACGTGGCAGTTTATTACTGTCAGCAGCATTATAGCTCTCCTCTCACAGTGCTTCAGCCTCGAACACAAACCTCCTCCCCATGCACTGGGCCAGTGGGTCTTCGCTGCAGCAGCTGCTTCCTCTGCACACAGCCCCAAACACGCGTGCTTCCTCTGTGTGTCGGGGAGGTCACTCTCTTGATTTAGTCCTTGGAGGGTTTGCAGGGCCCAGGATAAAATGAAGGGATTTGGCTTTTTCTGGATTTCTTTCTGTGGAAGGCTATTAAAGCAAAATGTAATAAAGATTCCTTAGAGACATTGTCAGGAGTTTTCGTGTTTCAGGAACCTTCATGTTTCACATGGACACATCACGTGACCGAGCCAAATAGATTTATCTTTACTTTCTAGACCAGGGTTCACTGAGTTTTACACACTGACCGGTGAATTGTTTCTTCTGTGTGCTTCCTTGACTCTGGAAAGTTTCTACTTAGATTCCTAATTCTCTTGTTTGTTTTTTTTTCTTCATCTGCAATCCTTCCCAATATTAAACCTTGATCCTTCCTATTCATAGCCTCCCACATAGTGTCCCTCTGTAGCTTTTTCCTTCCAGAGACCCTGTTTTCCAACAAAATCCATCTGGTCGATGTTGCTGAAAATTCTTATTCACTCTACCTCCTTTTGTTCTGCCCTTCCCACCCCCAGTTTCTTTCCATCATATTAATACTTTCATAGGCAATTTTCTAATTTTTGTTACTCTAGAAATAAGTGACAGCATTTTTCATTGCCTTTTACAACAGTTTGCCAACTTTCTTCTTATTTATTTATCATTTTTGAATTTTCAATTTTCATGGTACATAGTAGGTGTGTGTGTATATGTGTGTACAAACACACACACACATATATGTGTGTATATATATAGTACCTGAGATATTTAGATACAGGCATGCAATGTGTAATAATCACATCATGGAGAATGGGGTCTCTAGCCCCTTACGTATTTATCCTTTGTGTTACAAACAATCCAATTATACTCTTTTAGTTATTTAAAACTGTATAGTTAAGTTATTATTGACTAAAGTCACGCTGTTGTGCTAGCAAATAGTAGGACTTATTTATCCTTTCTAACTACTTTTTTGTATCGATTAACTATCCCCACTTTCCCCCTACTCCCCACCCCCACCCACTACTCTTCTCAGCCTCTGGTCGCTATCCTTCTAGTCTCTATGTTCATGAATTCAATTGTTTTCATTTTTAGACTCTGCAAATACATGAGAATAAGTGATGTTTGTCTTCCTGCGCGTGGCTTATTTCACTTAACGTAATGATGTTAGTTCCATCCATATTGTTGCAAATGACAGGATCTCTTTCTATTTTATGGCTGAATAGTACTCTGTTGTGTTTATGTACTACATTTTCCTTTTCTGTTCATCTGTTGATGGACATTTAGGTTGCTTCCAAATCTTAGCTATTGTGAACAGAGCTGCAACAAATACGAGAGTGCAGATATCTCTTTGGTGTACTGATTTCATTTCTTTGGGGTATATACCCAGCAGTGGAATTGCTGAAGGACATGGTAGCTCTATTTTTAACTTTTTGAGGAACCTCCAAACTGTTCTCCATAGTGGATGTACTAATTTACATTCCCACTAACAGCGTACAAGGGTTCCCTTTTCTCCACATTCTTACCAGCATTTGTTATCGCTTGTCTTTTGGATATAAGCCATTTTAACTGGGGCGAGATGATATCTCATTGTAGTTTTGATTTGCATTTTTCTAATGATCAGTGATGCTGAGCACCTTTTACTATGCCTGCTTGTCATTTGTATGACTCCTTTTGAGAAACATCTATCTGAATCTTGTGCCTAACTTTGATTGGGTTATTATACTTCTTCCCATAGAGTTGTTTTAGCTTCATATATATATATTATAGTTCTTAATCTCTTGTCAGATGGATAGCTTGTAAACTTTTTCTCCTATTCTGTGGTTGGCTCTTCACTTTTTTGATTGCTTCCTTTGCTGTATAGAAGCTTTTAAACTTGCTGTGATTCCATTTGTCCATTTTTGCTTTGATTGCCTGTGCTAGTGGGGTATTACTCACGAAATCTTTGCCCAGACTGATGTCGAGAGTTTCCCAAATGTTTTCTTGTAGTAGTTTCATAGTTTGAGGTCTTAGACTTGTCTTTAATCCATTTTGATTTGCTTTTCCTATATGGTGAGAGATCAAAGTCTAGTTTCATTCTCTTGCATATAGATAGCCAATTTTCCCAGCATTGTTTATTGAAGAGACTCTTTTCCCTAATGTCAATTGATGACACTTTTGTTGAAAATGAATTCACTGCAGGTATGTGGATTTATTTCAGGGTTCTCTATTCCTTCCATTGGTCTATGTGTCTGGTTTTATACCAGTGCCACCCTGTTTTGATTACTATACCTCTGTAGTATAATTTGAAGTCAGGTAATGCAATTTTTTCAGTTTTGTTCTTTTTGTTTAAGATAACGTTGGTCATTGTGGGTCTTTTGAGGTTTAATATAAATTTAAGAATTATTTTTTCTATTTCTGTGAGAAATGTCATTAGTGTTTTGATAGGGATTGCATTGAATCTGTAGATTGCTTTGGGTAGTATGGAAATATTAACAATGCTGATTTTTCTAATCCATGAGCATGAAATATCTTTCCATTTTTGGTGTCGTCTTCAATTTCTTTCATCAATATTTTATAGCTTTCATTATAAAGATCTTTCACTTGTTTGGTTAATTCTTATGTATTTAAGTGTGGCTATTGTAAATGGGATTATTTTTAATTTTTTTCAGAGTGTTCACTGTTGGCATATAGAAATATTATTGTTTTTTGTATGTTGATTTGTATACTTCAACTTTACTGAACTGGTTTTCAGTTATAATAGTTTTTCAGTGGGGTCCTTAGGTTTTTCAAAATAAAAGATCATATCATCAGCTAACAAGAATAATTTGACTTCTTCCATTCAATTTTTGATACCCTTTATTTCTTTCTCTTGTCTGATTGCTCTAGCTAGGAATTTCAGTACAATGCTGAATAAAAGTAGTGAAAGTGGGCATCCTTGTCGTGTTCCAGATCTCTCAGGAAAAGCTTTCACTTTTCCCCCATTCAGTATGATACTGAGTGTGTTATATATAGTTTTTATTATGTTAAGATATGTTTCTTCTACATCCAGTTTATTAAGCAGTTTTTATTTATTTATTTATCTTTTTTTTTTTTTTTTTGAGAC